ATGGGGTGGGGAGAAGGCGGGTAGAAGGGTGGGCAGAGTGGGGGTGCAGAGCCCTGTTTGGGGGTACAGAGCCCTGTGTGGGGCACAGTGGGGGCTGCAGGGCCATGCAGGGAGGTTCATACCGAGGCCATTTGGCCTCCCCACACCCCAGAGCTGCCCCCCCACTTTCAGACCTCCCCCCAGACCAGTGGATGGTACCTCGAAGCGGCGCCGAACGGCCTCTTCCACCAGCGCCCGTGCCGGCAGCCAGGCCCGGTGGTAGAAGTCGAGCCGGTCCAGGAACTCACTCCCCACCAGCTCCATCGCCCGCTTGAACCCCGCCTGGGGGCACATGGGGGGTCAGGGGGGTCCCCAAGCTGGGTGTCCCCATCCCGGGTGTCCCCACTCTGGGTGTCCCCAAGCCGGGTGTCCCCATCCTGGGTGTCCCCAAGGGGCTGCGGTGCCCGTGCCCACCTCGGTGTCCTGGTCGGGGTCGTTCCAGCGGGGGTTCAGGTGCCCCACGCGGGCGCTCAGGGTGGTGGTGAGGGCGTAGCGGGGCTCCCCCTCCGCCTGCGCGATCCCGTTGTCGATGGCGTCGATCTCCTCCACAAAGTTCTCGTAGAGCTGGGGGGGGACAGGAGGAGACAGTGAGGGGACAATGGGGACAGCAGAGGGGACAGAGGAGAAAGAAGGGGACAGCAAAGGAGGGAACAGTGAGGGGACAGCAGGAGGAAAATGGGGGGAGGGCAAGAGGGGGACAAYGGGGGCAGCACTGGGGGGGCACAGCAGGGCCCAACCACACACCAGTAGCTGCCACAAACCAGTCGCCTCTTTCTTGGAATCTCCTGTGGGGTGACACCCCCTCCCCGCCAAAAGGAGCAGCCCTGGGCAGAGCTGTGGCACTGGGAGGGTCAGAGCCCCCCGTACCTTATCGTAGAGCGCCGTGACCACGGGCCCGTCCTCCGGCTGCCCCAGGAGCGCCGCCAGGATCTGGGAGCCGAAGTGACAATAGACCAGCCCGGCGCTGCTCAGCTTCGTGCTCCAGGGCTTGTCGGGCCGGAGGCTCCTCATGGACTCTGTGAAGGACCTGCAGGGCACC